CGTTAAAGCCACAGAACCTACTGCAATCGTGCTTCACGAGTTGTCCTACTGTACAAACAGTGCCTCCATCACACTCTCATAACAAAACATTTCTAAACAAACTTAAGTGCCACACAAAGTAGCTGCAGTGTTTCCAAGGCCTCACGCATAATGCAGGACACGCACGCAGACTTGTCGTCACCATGAAACCAAAACCAATACCAATTAGCACAAATGTACACTTTTTATGTCAACAAATCATTACACAGATACAATGAATTTTAGAGTCTCCAAAGTTACATTAAAGACCCTGACCTGTAATATCCCACGTTTGAGTCAGGTTAGGGATCTTTATTGCATGTCACGCCCAGTCTCTCTTTCATTTTTGTCCTCTCTGCCACCAGTTTCCGCTCCTACTAGTGTCGTGCCAAACCAACCTTCTTGTTGCCAAAGGTTAATGTACAATACTGTGACAATAGAAACTCGTTAAATATAATAACAGCATATTTATCAGCGGTGTGCTTGAGATCAGACTGGAGATGTGAACACTTAAAACGATGGGTGAGCTTACTCGCCATCTTCCTACATTTGTACGTTTTAAACAGAAAACATATTTTGATATGAAATGACATATATAATACAATATAGCCAACAGCAAGTACTTCGTTAGGGGCCATTTTCAGCTCCCTAGCGAATCTCCCTTCAGCCAGCTGTGTTAACGTCACAGCCACACAGCCACACACACACACACACGTTCCTCACACACAGGCAGCTACGGCACATGGTAAAACATAAACAAGGAATATACTGCAATTCATTTTCAGTGGGATGTTATTTGTCCAGTAACCTGAAGCAATTTTATTTGGAGATTTGTTTGAGTGAGAGAAGGTCCTGTAACTTGGTGCAGTTATGTATGAGTCAATCTTTTACTATGATACCATTGTTTTTCAAGTTTCCATGAAAGAAAAGTAACAAAAATGTGTAAACGTGTATGCTGTCATTTATAGTTCTTAGAAAGAAAATTTAAATGTGCAAAAATCAGAAGGTCAGACTTCGAAGAATCGGCAATCGGTGCATCTCTATTCTTTACCAAAGAGAATCAATTCCTTTTCTTCAAAAATATGAATCTTACTCAATGATGACTGTTGGCAAAATAATTCCAGTCACAATACTGAATACTGAAACCGCATTCACAATGAACCACAGAGAAGTACAACGTGGTTGTCAAAGTGTTCCTCTGTACCTAAGAGAATATGTTAATATGCCACGTTTGCTTGTCTTAACTCTCAAATATTGCAAAAGCCCGTTTAATGATTTCCATATTAAAAAGTATTAGATCTGATCACGATAAAGAGGATTTCAGGAATAACTGGCCATCCGCATAGCTCCTCACATTCACTAGCAGACACACACACACACACACACACACACACAGCGAGGAGTAGAGCTAGAAGATCCCTATTGCCATATATGATCAAAATAAGACGGCTTGGCAAAAGAAGGAAGGTCAGCAATAAACATCTGAGCCTCTCCCCTGATCCTCTTCCTAGTTCAATCAGACTGTTCCTCTGAAGGATGTCTGAACCTGATACCGAGACGTACTGCATAGACAAGAACATTTCAATCAATGAGGACTTGGCAAATGACTGTACATTAAACCTCCACCTGGGATGATGTGCTACTGAGCCATCCAAAATATTTTGGGCTGTTGAGCAGACTTTTGGCCCCTATTTTTAATACTGTGCTCGACAAATTCTCTGATGACCAAAAATGCCTTTTTGATGTCATTCTCAGGAGTTTTTAACTGATTGCCAGACATTCTTCATATTTCATGTGAAGTCCACATTTTCATGAAAAGCAAACACCAACTGGTACAACGACAGCTTGACTGAGGGCTTACAGTTTGTCAGCACTTTTGTGAAACCCTAAAGCGTTTGCCCTTCCCTCTCACTTTACTGACCGCTCGCTCGCTCCAGCAGTTCATTTACCCGATGCAGCAAAGGCCACAGCTCCTGGTCCACTGTGTTTTGACCAAGTAGAGGCAAACCACTGGTCTGTGGAGCAGGAAGCTGTCAGTATGGCCCGATATGGCCTCAGTCAGAGGCAGCCAGACTGTGGGCAATGCTGCAGCCCTGGCAGAGTTGTTATTTTCTGACCAAGCGGGTAAGTATGATGTTTTTATAGTTTTTAACTGCAAAACCAACCCTAACATTTACCCTCTCTCAGTCTGGAAACACCATGCCTGTGTCTGGCATCAAATAAAACAAAACCCCATAACTGTTTTATCGACGAGGCATGGCTGTTCTGGCAACGCACTGTGACCATATAGCAAACCCTGGCAGGAAGGGAGAGGAACACCAAGGGAGGGTGGACCTGAATTAGTGCAAGAAAAACACTTTGTTGGGAGAATGCTGCAGCATCCGTCAATCTAGGGGTGAACGAACTTGCAGATTAATCATATTGTCTGTCTGCACCGTTAATTTAGTCATTTTTTAAAGCAGGAAATACTAAACACTTGCTGGTTCCAGCCACTCAAAATGGGAGAATTTAAGTTTTTTTGTTTTTAAATTTCTGTAAACGGATTAACCTATCTTTGCATTTTGGACATGACGGGCAAGACAAACAATTTCAAAATGTCACATTGAGCAACAGGAAAAAGTTTGAGAGTTTCCCCCTTGAGGACAAATAATAAACCTATTTAACCACCATGCAACCAACTCTTTTTTTACATTCAAAACCCACAAATGTTACATTTAAAACCATATGAAATTAGAGAGCGGCTGCAAACCGTCTCATTGGATAACCTAGAACTAGAAGCTAATGCCGTTTTTGTTTGATAAATGACTTAAATCATTTAGATCACCACAATTGTTGTTGAATCATTTTATTTTGATCAATAGTTTTAGCTCTACCCTACAAAATAAACCCAGACACACAAGACTAGATGAGAGGTGAATTATGAAACCTTAAAAAGAAATATGAATCACATGCCTCCACAAAATATTCCAGTACTAATATGTATAAATCCATACAACTAAAATTGAGAATACTTGGCCAGAAGGAGCAGTTGGGCACTGAGTCTAGCTGAAATATAAAACCTGTCTCCTGTCAGGTAGCGAATGACCGGAGTCAACTAAGGTGGATTAATGTCCAGTACTCAATATCTCGTCCTTCCTCTTTAAGATACATTTGATGAAACACGGTGGTTAAATAGATTTAGTCGCTTTATTATTTGTCCTCGAGGAGGAAACTCTTTTAGAAACAGAGGTTGTCTTCGTTCTCCAGTGATGTGTGGAGAGGCAGGCGGCTCACTGAAGGCTGTGGGCCTGTGAATAATGCCAGGGGGGATAATAGGAGTCAGTGACATCCCAAAGTCTCAGCAGCGGATGTGTTTAACCAAGCCTATTAAGACCTACACTAATCCTGCCTTACACGTCCTTATCCAGGCGTCCACTGACAGCCTTAACTCACACAGGATGGGCCACTTACACCATGACTGATAGCAGGTCGTGCTTGCTCTCTGCCTTTCACACACAAACACTTTCACAAGTGGTTTTTAATGTCTGCTGTCAAAATTAGGGATGTATTGAAAAAACAACACACCAGATGGTTGTGCAATGCTTTACACAGAGTGTAAATGATCACCTTATTTTTTAAATATCCTTGAATCAACCCAACCGTTTAATGATCATCTAGCGGGAGAAATTTAATTGCAGCACACAAGCAAACCCTTTCAAAACTGCGACACAAAAACAAAACACCCCTCTGTTGACACGCTCACGTTGGCCACCAGGTAGAATAGAGTGCACTAGCGATTCAAACGTATGACGGAATAGAATATGTCCCATCGACGGCGTGGCTCTAATGTGGCCTAGTTATCCGAGCTGAGGTATCCAGCAGGGAAATGAAAAGGAGACACATGTCAAATAACCAGGGCTGCTTTCGGTGGGCGAGAAATGGGAGCAAACGTTTTGAAACCAAGGATGCAACCTAGATAATTCTAATTGTCCTAAAAAAATTTTTTAAAAAGGACACTTTCCTTTTTCCAAGGAGCTTTCACACATCTGTTTTAAGTGGCTGGCAGGTAACATGCACACACAGTTAAACGTTAGCCTGTTAGAAGACGCTTGCACACAAAATACATTTTTCTGAAAGCAACGCGAGTACACTGGTGATAAAGCATAGCCCAATGTTCCTTTTTGTGTCCAGAGAACAATGAATCAATGCAGTACAGTGCAACTTGTTCAACAGCAGCTCCCTCTTGCCCACACACCAGCTATAAAAATAGCCAACATTAACCTACTCAGCTAGACTCCAGGATGAGGGGGCAAATCCCTCAGTATCCTCTGGAAGTGGTAGATGTGTGACACTGGGGGGAGACTAATACATATTAGAAAATTATAATGGAATGAATGGACAACCAAGCAAGGGCTAACTGAGGCACCTGAAGCTTCATCCAGTTGAACAAAATGTTATGCAACCTGGTGAAAGCAACAGTGTAAAGCAATCCAAAGCTGCTGCTTCTTTTATCAAGTGGCCATCTCCGCCTTTCAACCATCACCAGCTAACAAACCACGGGGGCAGTTTTTTGATGTTAGCCGACTAATTAGCTTGAGAGCTAGTCAATAATGTCAAAACTGGCCCACTGACAAGCATGTGGTATAAGCCTGCAACATTAAAACGGTGACATCTTAGTAACTTCGATGCCAAATGATCCGTTGTCTGCACACCAATGCAAATACATATTACTCGAGTAAAGAGCCAGTGCGGCTAGCTAGCCAGTCTTTGCAGATATGCACATTAAACCAGCCAGCTTACTGTTTTTTTTTGTTATTTGTTTTTTTTTTTTTACTCCGACCACGCATTTCGCAAATTCATGCGATAACGTTTCTCGCACTGAAACCTAGCCAGCTAGCAGCCTTAACTAGCAGCATATTTGCTAGCATTGCCAAGAAGGCCCAAGAACGTGAGTTGTCCATACAACGACTCACAAGACGTAACAATTAAAACATGTTACATACCGAGAAGAAGTAATTTCAGCTCTCTCCTGGAGTCGCGCTTGTCTCGGCGGAGTTGTTTGTCAATTTCTGCATTGATTCGTTTCGACTCCTTCGCCTCTTCGCTCAGGCAGCACGCCATCATGGACTCCAGAGTCATCCCCTCTGCTGTGGGCAGCCCGGTTAAGACGGGACGCGATACACGGTCTCGGTTTATCAATCTCAGGAGGTGGTCTGTCTGTCTGTCTGTCTGTCTGTCTGGACGTACGGACGGACGGGACTAGCTCGGGGCCTCGCTGTCAAGTTGTCCCAATCAGCCGAGAACAACTGCGACTTCACCCGGGTGTTCTCGGCAAAAATCACGGGAGATCCGGACGTCAAGAGACGGCCTTAATACAGTTAATGTTAAAACTACTGCCGCTTAATACCTGTTGTATAGCATTAACCCCCTCCTCTGTCTTTTCGTCTGTCACTGTGGTCCAAATTCAATCTTCACAATCTGCCAAAAAGTGGTTCAAAACTGCAGCCTCGCGACATCCGAGCCCGTAACAATTGATTTTCTCTGCAGCCTCACCAACGGTAGCTAGCTGGTTCACGCTACAACAAGTAGTATTCCTAGCTGGTCGGCTAACATTAGCGTGATCGCCGTTATTGCACTTATCTACGCGGCAGCAATGCGTCCGTTTTCTTAAGTAACTACATGAGCTAACGTGGGCTAAATTGCACGTAGCGGCTACACGAGAGCAGAGCCTCGCTAGCTCTCTGAACGACGCCTCGGCTAATGTTGTGTCAACCCGCAGTGATTGGAAACAGCGAGCTGGTTGAAGGAATTCGTTCGCCTAGCTAGCGATAGCAGGGCAGCACCCTATCACGTCCTGACTCATCTTGACGGTAAAACACGAGGCTACTACCACCGCCTTAAAGAGGGGTAAGATGCGGCCCGGCCCGGGTGGCTTTTGCCAGAAATGTATTCGCTGCAAACAGCTGGCTTTCGTCGCTGGAACAAGGTCGGAACACACACACACACTCCAAGTCTGATGCCGAGCAAGGAGGAGGAGATACTGGGGTGTTGAGTGACAGGCGGGGGGCTTGCATGAAACATTGTTTTTGACAGACCAATTGAATGGGCGAGGGCGGGTCCTCCGGGGTGGGATCCGACTGTGTGCACACAAGATGCAAAACCCCAATATGCATTAGGAAGGGCTTGGTTTTCGGGTTTTATACACTCTTTAAATACAGGCACCACCTGCTGCGTAATCTGCACTGCTGGGAAAAATGTTTTTCAAAATCTAGTGCAACGTGGTGACTTATCAAGACATAATTAATTTCATTAAGTAGTCAATCCTCATCAATAACCTGCAGTATAACGCAAGCAGCATCAGACAGGACTGATTATTGGCGATGAACGTGACATCTTGTGGCTTAGAGCTGAATTGCATGCAACACATGTTCATAGTATTCATTCAACAAGCTCATTGGTCCATATTGGTTTCTAGGAATATAGCTTTTTTTCTTTTACATTTTGTACACACTGTGTAACACATGTTTACATTACACACAGGTTACAAACCATCAGAATCAAAGATGATATCAAACCATATACAGGAAACCCAGTTAAAACAAAACTGGAATCTTTATGCAATGATGCACTACATAAAAATGTACAAAATGGGAAAAAAAGAGCACATCATGCAGTCATGATTAATATAAAAATGTTACAGCCATGATAGTAGCCCCTTCAGGCTGTGATGCATAATACACAATAGAAAACACTTGTTTCATAGATGAAAAATTAAGGCAAATACATTTAGCTGTTTTTACATCCTTATCACGAGTTGGAACTTGTGAAGATTGGCCAAAGTAAACAGGTGTGTGTATGATTTTAGAAGATTTAGGACTTGATTTGAGGGCGTTGTCAAATTTAGCTTATTTTCAGTCAGTCTTTGCTTAACTTGATCCATCTCTGGTTCATTTAGGTTCAACTATGTGTTTGACATCAATGCTTTGTTAACAACCAAAGCACTGTGTGGCAAAAAAAATCTAGTGCAAGTACAAATGTTTATCAGGATTTCAATAAGTCTTTATGTGTTGGAGACTTCTTCAATTACTCTGTTCTTCAAAAAAGTCACAGAAGAGCTTTCGGGCCTCCTCGGCATGACTTTGGTCAGTACTGGTGGAGGGAAGTTGCTTGTGGCTGGGCTGAGGGCTCTCTGCCTCGGCCACCTCCACCTGCCACTCCGCCTTGAAGGCGTCCCCGTGGGACTCGCACATGTTGTGCAGAATGCAGCAAGCTAGAATCATGGTGGGCACCACATCCAGTCCGCAGTCGTTCCTCTTGCTCAAACACTGCCAGCGGGCCCTCAGCCTCAGCAGCGCCTCCTCGGAGACACGCAACGCTCGGGCGAGCAGTCGATTGAAGAGCCGCTGTGGCTCGGTCAGTGCTGTGTGGCTGGCCCTCCGGCCCTTTTCCCCAGGATAGGCCTTCATCAGCCAGCTCTGCAGAGGGTAGCAGGCCTCCCCCAGCAGCATATACCTAGACATACCAGACGGCTTTCAGTCAGTTACAGCACACCCTGGGAGACTGGAAATCCTAAGAGGACTCGGAATTGCGGCATTTCAACTGCCAATGCCAATTGTAAACATGCAAATAATTTATTAACAACATTAATTTGTGCATGGAGCAAGGAAGTTTATGGATGAGACAACAGATGAAAATGGGTCTTATCAACCTTGAACTTTTTAAGATATCAGATCACCAGTGGTAGATCTTGGAAATCAGAAAAAAGTGTGCGGCTAAACTAAGAATACAACATGCAACATCTAATATAAAATAACAAATATTATGGACATAATATATATCAGCAGTCTGTGTGTATACTTGTCAGATGGTGTGTATACCGTATGTCAATCCTTCCCACTCCATCATGAAATTGGCTTTTCAATGATGTTGGGCTAATTCTTTGACAACTGTGGAGATTTCCTAGATGGTGTTTATTTGAGCCGAACAGTAGATGCTATTTTAAAGTGGACAAATGACTCCTAACAAACAAGAGGATGGAAATGCGGTATCTTTAATTGCCTGAAAAATGTGACGCTTGCACTGAATTGGATCCTGATCCAACCATGATGTTGACGTTTAACTACCTGAGCGGTTTTCCCATGAAGGTAGGTGGCGGGGCCGGCGACAGTCCACCGTCTGCAGCTGTGGCCCACAGGGATGAGTTCTGGAAGATGTCAGCTGGGTCCGTCCCACCTGGGAAACTGGCACATACGTCCCAGAATTGCCCCCGGCCACTGACGGCCACCTCAAACACCAAAAAGACAGGAACTCAAAATCCGACAGCTAGCGAACATGTATTGTCAGCGGCATATATGGGTGTCCTCTCTACCTGTGACAGCACTGAGAGCCAGCCAGCGGGGTTGGCGTAGTCAGATGCGTTGTTTGACGGGGTGATGATAGCAGTGTGTAGGGTCGATATGGCAGCAACGCAGTGAGGAAAGCCCCATTTGGACAGGAAGAGCTGGGCTGAATCCTCCAGCTCCTGCTCACTGGGGGGCCGCAGGTAGATGGAGCTGAGGAGGGCCACAATGGCGTGACACATGTCCCTGACACACCTGCACACAGTGGACTTCCCCACACCAAACAGGGTGCTGATGGTGCGGTATTCAACGTTCGATGCCAGGCGCCACAGAGCCACTGCTACGCGTTTCTCCACCGGCAGCGCCAGGCGGAAGCTGGTGTCCTGGCGAGCCAGACGAGGCCTCAGCTTGTCACAGAGGTAGAAGAACGTCTCCCTGCTCATACGGAACTTATTCAGCCAATCAGACGGCTGGAATTCCGTCATCACCACGCGCTCCCACCAATCAGTGCTTTGGGTGGTGGTCCATGGACGTGTGCGGATGCGGGCGTTGGAGCGGATACCTCCTGCTATCATCATCTGAGGAGGATCAATAATGAAATAAAGATTTTCTTTAAATTAATTCACGTTTTTATTTCATCCCGCAAGTCACCGTCTTACAAAAGTAAATAAATGGAGAAATGTTTGTTCGAGTTTATTTGACAACAGCAACAAATTCTATCCGATACATTTTTATTAAACTTAAATCCAAATTCTACATCCATAAATATAAATACACTAACTGCTCTGGTTGGTCAAATTAAAAACTATATCTCTATTATTGCATACAGTGGAAATAGAAATTATTGTTATATTTGTTTTTGGAGGGGGAGTTCTCTGGTTCTCCTACTAAAATGACTCACATATATAATTGTGTTTTTATAATCCACAAATACAGTGTTTAGATATTTTAGTGTTGACAATGTAGAATAAAGTACACCTGATATGTTAAGGCAACATAGTCTACAGCAGTATTTATATGCATGGCCGTGATTATGTTGGGATATGAGGGAGGGAGGGACTGACCATGAGCATCCTTCTCTGTCTCTGGAAGAAGTACTGCCGATGTCTGATGCGTCTTTGAATCTCACTGCGCCTCTGAATGTTTGCGTCGTTTAAGTCTCTCCTGCGCTTCAGCAGCATGTAAGTCATCAGGAACATGAAAGACCGCAGCTGCTCCTCTTCCTCCATGTTGACAAGTTCAACCAGGAGGCAGAACGCCAGTTAACATTGAGTTACGAGGATCACAGCGACGTTTATCAAGCGACTCAGGCGCTGATGCAGGCAACGCTGCTGTCATTTCACCTCAAAGCTGTAAACCGGCGTACTTCCGCCTTCTTCCTGTTTATGAACCCGACTATGAACCAGAGTGGTGCTGCCATCTAGCGGCTGAAACGAGGTAGTGGTTGCATTGCTCAAAGTGTGAGACATTTGTCAGATATGTCAAATAAATGAGCCCATTTTATATAATAATGTTTTAATGGTTTTTAGATTGTCTCTATGTAGGCTACTGCCAGAGTGATTTACACTCAAAAGATGTATTTTTGAATAACTACATTTTAACTTTTAGTGAGGATTTGCTTCACATGCTTAAATGCAGTTGAAATATTTTTTCCTTGAGTAGATGTAGTTCTGCTCTGTCTCTTTTAGCTTGACCAAACCCGCAGTCTTTTAATCCTTTTAGGACTATTGCAGAGGAAGAGTTATGGCCTCTTTGGTCCATCCTTGGTGTTTGGACTTTTTCTGAGTCATCGCTCATGCATCAGTGACTCCAGCACAAGGAGAAGAGAATTAAAAGATTTTTTGTTTATTATGGCTCTTATTTTTTTTTGTTTGCCTCCTTCAACTTTGAATTCAATTTGTCAGTGTTTGGAAATATGTGCTGTGAGCACTTTCTCTGCATTCTCTTTAATGGCAGACTCAAGATAAGACTTTCAAATAAATAAAAGACATCAGTGAACATTGCATGTTTATTCCCCCCAAAATGTTTTCTGCTACAATGCCTTCACAGGGATAGCATATATCACTTAAATAATGCAATACAACAAGAGAACAGCGAGTTCCTAATAAACATTCCTCTCAACAAAAAAATAGGATTATTACAAGGATTAGAAATAGATCAGAACAGAGTGTTACTTTCTAATCTGAGCATTTTATGGAAACGGCTGAACAATAATGGAAAACTGTCGAGATCAATGCCGATCTCAAGGAAAACATTTAGTAAGTCCTTTCCACAGCACGGTAGCTGCTCGCTTAGTCACAGCAGATGCTGATTTCTTATCTCTTCCACTTTAATAAGATCAATAAACAAACAATATGTTCTAGTGTACTCCAACATAAATAGGATTTGGGTATATAGTGTCTAGGAGGTAATATCTGTGAGTGTATGTTAGAGGTTAGAGGAGGTACTGTACACAGAAGGTATTTATTTACTATATACTTTAAATTGTGTTACATTCATAAATTATGTGGAAATAGACAAGAAACCTAGGACACAACTTTCACTCGAGTGATAAAAAGTTCTGCCGCTGCGTTCTCAAACTCCTTTGCGTCCATATTACCACCCGGGCCCCGTGTCTGTGCTCCAGCCATGGCCTGACCTAACTTGTCTGGAGAGATCTTAGCACTGGCCTCCAGGTAGCGTAAAGCCTTCACGTTAGCCTCGAGACAGGGATTCACTTTAGTATTCGCATTATCACAGCAGTTTGCCTCGCAGCCTTGGGAAGTCTCCAGGGCTTCCTTTAAGGTCCCCAGCACGGCCAGGCACAGCGCCCGCGAGGCAGGCCCTTCGTCCGGGCAGCACACTTCAGCGTAAAGCCTCTGAGCCTGCCGGATGTAGTCTGAGAAAACTGCACATGTGAGCACACCGTGACGGAAGATGTCATAAGGGACGGCCTCGTGGTCTTGGCAATGGAGGCGTTGGAGGAGTGGGGCGGAGGTGGAGGCAGGGACCCCGCCCTCACTGCACAGGCACTGCAGAGTCTGTGTGTGGAGGCCTCCCTTCACTCCTCCTCCTCCTTCTGTCGGGCTGTCGGTGCAGGAGCCATCAGGGGCCTCAGGAGCCTCACCTGAACGTCTGAGGGGCCCAGTGAGGTTCAAAAGGTCATAAGCCACACGGACATTGTTGCTGAAGGCTGATCTGGGTTTAAAATGAGAGAAGGGAAAGTAAATGAGTGTTTTCTCTGTGGCAGTTAGAAGGAAAAGCTTGTTATTTATCAATGAAATAAGTGAATTCCATGGATCTCAGATATAAATATCTCAAAACATGGTTAAATAGGACCAGTACAGCCTGTATAGCTCTATATCTCTGGAGGCAATTGTGAAAATATGTTCTTTTGTAATTTGGGTGAACTGACCCTGTAATATTTACAGAATAGTTACAGAGGATTTGAGATACCAGATGTGGTGCAACTTTCTAACATGTCATTTATAAAGGGTTTATGTTGGAATGGCTGTATTAATGGCTATTTAATTGTTCATTCATATGCTTTATAGAACCATGAATAAGATCAAATTTATTTGGCTGTTGAGTGACTAATAATTAAGTCTTTAATAGTCGTATAAACGGTGTATCACTTTCTGTCAAGGTTTCTTAAGATAAGTCTGCAGTTGTAAGTTTGAAATAATAGTTAATAAAGGTAATGTGCTCTAGATGGTCTGCAGTTCTTTTACAGAAGATCAGAGGTCAATCAATCTATTGGGGGGGTTGTCTTCCTGATGAGTAATTAAGACAAATCAAGTCCTGAAAGAGGACAAACAGCCACAACCTGGCAACCCTACTGTTGTTCTTATTAAATGGCTCATTGCATAAGCAAATCATTAATCAACCAATAATATGCCATTAGTTACAATAAGCCTAAACCCTGTTGCAGTTTATTATTAGTCCCATTGTCCATCAACAATTTTACGGCACATTGTGCATCATAGAAATGCTGTATTGTGGCACCATTATCATTGTGGCTAGGCCTGCATGTTATTGACATGGTACTGTGAGTTATTCTAAAACACCCAGGGCTATAATAATCATACATTGATCAAATCCTTTAGATATATCAATATGTAATATATATATATAATATTATATATATTATAATATACAAGTAACAGCTGATTAATGTAAGTGTCTAGGTACAGTGAGAGGACATAATGAGGGTTTGATCACAGGCTCCATTATAATAATAGTCGGTTCAAAGGGCACAAGTCATGTCAAAGGGGTCTGGTTTAGGACCGTATATCTCTGAAATGTGTCCAGACCTCTGGGAATGGTGCGCCAGCCTCAGGTGCCACAGCGCCCGGTTGAGATGCTGCTGCTCCTGCGCGCCTGAGCTCAGCGGGCCGTTGTTCAAATGATCCCCGTCGCTGCCTCCAGCTGTGCCGGTCTCTGACTCGGAGGCGAGGTTGCAGAAGTGGTCGGCGAGGAACCCGATGGGATCGTCCGACCTGGCCTCCACCATCTTCAGGATGGCTCCGCGGAGCAGCTCTCCCACTCCAGCCTGCGACAGAAACTCCCTGTCGCTGTCCGATTTGGTGGCTTTGCCCTCGGGCATCCCTGGAGGAGTAGCCCCGGACCGGCGCTTCTCCTTGTCCGCCATAGCTGATGACGTCCCGTGTCGCAGCAACGGCAGCGGAAGTGATTCAATACCGGTCGGGAGAGACAGGAAACGGTTTATGTAGGTCTAATGTTTATTCATCCATATGGCTAGAAAATGTGGCAAAAATCATCGGATGATTTACAAAAAGCCATCCGATGATTTAAAACAGCTGAAAGCCCCCAAACACAAAAGACGTGTCTCCACAAAATCAGTCCGCTCTGTCGTGCTGGTTGCTGGGGACGCTGTCTGACGTGTGCGCGTGCGTCAAGTAGTCCGTGAAAGGGATTCTGATACCTGGGCCCTCACTCTGTGAAATGTCTCCAGTTGTTTTTGTTTGTTGCTGAAATAGCCTGCTATCTGGCCACGATTTTACTGTGAAGTGTTACGCATTGATTTAAGCATATGGAATAAGCACAAAACTGAAATAAAATGTGTTGTGGTGGTACAAAGCCTACTCTCCAACACTTCTGGAGCAATTTGCTGCTTTCACCTGTTGGTAATCCAGCCTTATCCCACTCACCTGAAACCCAAATGGATATATATATATATATTTTTTTTTTTAATAAATACTAGCGCAGGTACAATAGGCCACCCAAGATTCATAAAACCATTCTAATACTTTTTTGATATCTTACTTTCAGGATGAGATAGAAGCTATAGCCAGCTTGACAGTTTTTGATACTCAGTGCTGAAAGACACAATTTAGTCAAACACACACCCATAGTGTCCAGTTTATGGGTTAGTTAGAGTCCTCTCACTGATATCTGCTATTGATTAAAATGGCATTGGTCTTATATGTTCTTGTTTATGATCACCATGTTTTATATGGTGTCATGTACTTGCTTTTGCAACAATAGCTATTTACCTTTCAGGCAAATAATGCTCATTTTAATTTTGATAGATGGCTTAATGGGAGCAGAGGGGAGTTAAAAAAGACAAACACAAATCCATCATATATGTTCGGTCCAAACAAGGTTTATTGTATATTCAAAACCCAGGTTACTATGAAGTCTTCATCCCCATTTTCTCTTTCAGCCTCAAACCAAAACACAAGGCAGTGATAAACAATAACACAACTAATGTGAAGAAGATACCTACCACTCATTCATCAAACAACAAACAAAGCATTTAACAGTTAAATACAGCTGCACCACATGTGCTTATTTAATATTGACCTATTTCCAGTAACTGTACAACAGTGTTTTACATGTGCATTGCTCACAAAAGACTAGTTGAATAACAATACTAGCACAAAAACAAGATTGAACTTATTTAAATTCAATACATGGCTGATTCTAGATATAAAAAAACATTTGAAAATTGCCTGCTTTGACCAACGCTACGCTTTGTGGAGATTAGTGTAGTTTATGGACCTCTGTTGATGCTCAGTAACTAAAGAGGCCAACGACATGTATGATATGCAAGTGTTGAAGCATCACACTCTTTTTTTAATAGGACAAGACTTACTGAACTCCTATGATTTTTAAATGTTAAATTTACTCTGCAAAACAGTGTTTTTTTTTTCCAATGATAGATTAATGAGATCTTTCAGGTATCAAGTTTACTGTTGCGTAAAGTTAAAGTTCCACCTTGGGCTGTTGTGTTGCGTTTCAATCATAATGCATAAGTTGCATCGTCGACATGGATGCCATTTGTTAAAGGTATATGGCTCCCGTTGGTGAGGGAACTCATTTTCAAAGCAGCCCCACTGCCATCGACGTAGGTTGGATGTGGAGGCAGGAAGTCTCTCTGCAGCTTGTGCTCCAGCAGCATATGGCTCTGAGGAGGAAGGCCGAGGCACGCTCTGAAAAAGAAAAAGGAAGGAGACTGTTGTCAACTTCTGCCACTAATGACACACCTGCATGTAAGCCTTGAAAAGTCCTTCAAATTACAATTCTTCCGTTGAATGTGCATTCTTTGGGGAAAGTGTGTGGTAAACTAGGTTAAGAAACCTAAGCCTTGTCCCCCACCTCATGACGTTTTCTATGCAGGCCCTCTGGCGGAAGAAGGCATTGATGACCGGTGCCCCAGGTGGGACCAGGGGGGCCTTGCAGAGGAAGGAGAGCAGTGCTAAGACACTGTGGAAGGACTGGAAGTCCTCCTCCCCCTGGGGTCGGATAGCAATGCGCTGACAAAGCTCTGTCAGGATCACCAGGTCCAGGATGATTGGGGTGGCTAGCAGAGAGTCCTGTTGCAAAGACAGAAAGATGAGAATGGTGTTATAGAGTGAGAAGGGTATGGCCAACCCACATTCATTAATGCATGGAAAACACAATGCACTTCCATGTCCATGCAGGAATCGTATTTATACAATACCAGTGTCTTTTTCTAATACTACCACTAGGAGTCGCCAAATCAAAACTTTTCAAATTCTACACATGAAAGGCTTTTAATGCAAACTATCTTGATGCAGAAAATTGTAGCTTTTTTTATTAGAGTAATATATTGTGTATAAAAATTGCAGAATCCAGGAGGAAAAGCTGCAGTCTGCCAGATAACCAGAATAGATGTTATTTCATGTGTAGGAATGGTGGTGGACTTGAGCAGCTAGGCCAGTGAAACATGAAACAACTACGTCAATGACCTGAAGAAGTCTCTTTAAATTAGCCTCTACATTTGTTAAGAAGGATTAATAGTAAGCTCTGGCACTCTCGAGCCGCTTCCTCCACCACTACTACCGGCAGATGAAGAAGAATAGATCTGAACGTTGTGTTTAACAAGCAATTAGCAGTCTGGACTCTGGAAATAGTTCTAATATGCTAGATTTGCCTTTTTCAGCCGCACGTTTCACAGAAATAGATGTAGTGACCACTGACCTCACAGGTGTTGTGCAGAGCGATAGTATTGGTCCCTCCCATCATGATTTCAGAAGTGTATTCATCCATGGCCCGCTTGCTGTCTCCCAAACACGGAACATACTTAATCACGACCTGAAATGACGACACAGAGACAGTTTCAAACATCTGACAAGTTGTTGTCAGTAAACATCAATGTGTAGCTCATCATCCGTCTGTGTGCGAGTCACTCACACAGTGGTCAGGTTTTTCTCCAGGCTGGTACAATATGGAGTTTGACTTGACCATGTCATCCACCACGTTGCTCTTGGAGATCTCTTTAGAGCTAAACTGCTGAGGAGCCGACAGGTTCTTCCCATCGTTGTTGCCAAGATGATTGTAGCTGACGATGGCGGTCGGCTGTCGAGTAAACTTATTCAATCATTGTATCACGGCATTTTTTTTTTTCCTTGACTGTTTTTATACAGGTTTATAGTGGCTTACTCTACTGTCAGAAGTACATAGAATATAAAAACATGTTAATGTCATCATATATAAAGGCTTTGCTCGTTTGTTCCTATAATGTTGGGATAGCAGTTTGGCTGAAGTATTTTCGCCCCGGTGAGACATACCTTGAATCCAGTGTTTTAATCATTGCTCTGAGCCCGTCTTTCTCGACTGTCTGTAGCGGGACCATGTCCTTGCACAGATGGATCGTTATTGCGTTCGTAATGTCGCTGCACCGCTTGCTTTTCTTGTCATATGCTGCCTCGAGCGAATGACTCTTCAAGCGATGTCTGACCCACTCGCGTTAACGTTACTGGTTGACGGCCTCGAATCCGACGGCCGTCATCACACTCTTGATATTCCAACACATGTTTTCTGCTGAGGCGATGGAGTAAGTTGCTCGTGTTGCCATCAGCTGCAACAGCAGTGGCTGGACAAACTCGCAAAACATCGAATTTTTTAAAACCAAAACACTTCCAAACAGCAGACCCAGCTCCTCTCTTGGGCACAGACTATCGGTGCATCTCCGGTCTGTCTGTGTTCATCCTGCATCGCTCTGTTCTCTAATGTAACGTTTATGTAGACACGGAGCCTCTCCCAGCTGTTAGCAGACTGTTGTGCTAGTGGGCTAGTGAGCGAGCTGTACCCAGCATGCCGTTCGGCGGTGAAATTTTATAAATGTACAATTATTAGTGTTACAATTTATTTATTTGTCACAAACTGTTGTGTCGTGGTGTTTTACCCTGTTAGTTGAGGGTTATTAATTGTTGCGTTTAGGGCTGCAACTAACGATTATTTTAATAATCGATTAATCTGGCGATTATTTTTTTCGATTAATCGATGAATCGGATATTAATGGGCCAAAAAAGGCGAGTGAATAAAAACGTGTCTTTAGTCTTGCAAACTATACCACCCCTGCTTTACTACTGTTATTAACGAGCTAACGCTAACTCGTCATGCTTGTCAAGCTGGATAACGAGTAAACACCAGCACCAGAAGCGCTACTGGAGGGACGTTACGTTCCTCACTTCAAAACGGAACAAAAGTAGGCTTCTGTAGTGACTTACCCTGCTGTTGAACCCCTTCCTCCTCATCAACGACTCCAACATGTTTACGTTGTTGAATCAGGAAATACGGTAGCCGTCTGTGTTCACCCAGAGCTCTACCATACCTCATATCAACAGAGACCGGACCAAACTATGTGTATAAATGTGTGTGTGTAAACCATATGGTACAAACAATGAATAGACGCTGCCGCATTTACGTCTACATGACGTTATTCTGAGTGTCGGTGGAGCTGCTACAATGTTAGCTTAGCCTAGCACCGATCCATCAGAGCTCCATTGAGAAGACAAGTAGCCTACAAATCGTCATCATTACGTAGTTATTTCAGAGTCCCTTTTTATCGGTTTATTGCCGTTAAATCACAGCCAAATCAGTTCATTTTGTGTTCATACAGCTGTAGTAAACAGCGAAGTGTGGCTTGCTAGACACAGTGAATACACTTCGATATAATCCACAGAGCTCCTCTGGACAATGTTATGAACCAGACATGACGGCGTTTAGTTTCCCGGGATATCTGTGACTTCCACAACAGGTACTAAGCAGAAATAGAGGTTATTTTTTCCATGGTTAATGGCGGACAGTTGAACGGATTTCAGGGCGATAAGCCCCGCCCCCTCACCGGCGTCCAGCGCGAATGAACACAAATAGTCTCCGGCGAGACCTGTGAACACGGCATTAGGTCGTACTGATTTCTCTGCCTCCGCCATGTGTTTCAGAACAACGTTACGGGTCTCTCCGATGGTCTTTCCTCTACCTCCGCTCTTTTTTATTTTTATTTTTCATACTCAAACATCTCCGCGACTTATTGAGTGGCGTAATAATCGCGCGACACACCGAATCGACAATGAAATTCGTTACCAACTCTTTTAATAATCGATTTTTATCGATTTTATCGATTCTTTGTTGCAGCCCTAGTTGTGTTATAAAGTTATAACCATGATTAGAGGTCCCTCTCAATACAGTTAACCCAACTAGCTCCGACTGTAGCGCTCCTACAATATATTTTGCCACCTGTTAAAGAGTGACAGCAGTTGTATGGGGTATGACGGTGTGTGAAAAATTCATATCATACGGGAAATTAAAACCGGTATACCGAACCGGTATACCGCCCAGCACTAAATTTGAAGTTGTCATATTTTCTGGTAGGACTATTGTTGCTCTTCCTCTTTTTTTCCCCCGGTTATGTTAAATCCTTATACGAACCAAGGGTTTACGTTTAGAGGCAGACACTGCCACACTCTTATAGTCAGTATAAGTGATGATTAAGAGGGATTATTTTGAGTCTATACTTTTTTTTTTTTTTTAGTAAAATAATCCTAATTCTGCCTATAAGATATTTGATCCCTATAAGTGTAAAAAGCAGTGGTTTATGAGACCAGTATCATTTGAACCAGTTAAGGACAATAGATGATAATTTCAAACATTAATGGATTCCCACTTTAATTCTTGTCTTAGATTTCAGTGTTCTTAGCTTTTCTAGTATACTATAACCATGTTAGTAGTGATTCAGTGTGGTTAGTAACAGACCGGTAACTATCTATCGGTGTGTCCATTTTCTCACCTTGATACCCGAGCTGACCAGGAAGTCCACCAGCACCGACTTAATCTTGGTCTGACCGGATTTGAAGTCATCTCCTCCGATGAACACCCCATGCTGCACGGCCAGCTCTACGGCCCCCGGTACAAAGGTGTTCTGCGGAGAACCGTTGATGAAGGCACAACCCTCCAGTATGCTGGCCACTGCAAACAGAGTGGAGGGAGAGACCTCTGCTGCTCCATCCTAATGGATGTAGTAAAAAGATTATAACCGTTGCTGAGTGCATCATCATATTCCAGCATGACTCACATTTCCCGAGACCCTCTTTAGCTGTTTGCTGAAGATCACAAGTCTGTGAAATAGACTATTGCTGAAGACAGGAGATAAAATATAAACTCACCCATGAGGGGAAAATCATAATTTTCTTCCCCTGATCTGATATAAAAAGGAATAGCTGACTCATTATGGAAATTCATCTACAAATCCACAGTGAAGTGTTAGGAGAGCTAATCTTCTCATCCTCTAAGCTTTATGAATCTCTAAATGGATGGAGGATTACTGTTTGGTCCTTGGCATTAGGAGGAAATTAAAGTCGAAGTCATGACTACTGGCCGCCATCACAGTTTAGGATGGTTTGTAGGACAATTAAAAGTTAATTATCATACTGGGTCTCTACTGAAACCAGGATTTGTGTCTTGAGAGCTTGCATTTTAAAGCCATGTTTCACAAATCTGGAAGTTTTCCAACCAAACTCTGTTCTCGGCTCTCACCTGGATTGCAGCAAGCAGGTTCTTTGCCTTGTCATTGACCCCTGGTATGATATCAGAGAAGCGCTCGGTGTTGGCGGTCCACAGAACAATGACTTTGTCCACACCACTCGACTGATGGAAGCCCCTTATGTCAGCTCTTATGTGCTTCACCTGGAAGACCATTTACTCTTTTAAGTCAGATTAAAATGACACATGAAGCAAAATGAATTCGAAGTGAAATACACATATTACATTACAGTCATTTAGCTGACGCTTTTATCCAAAGCGACTTACAATCAGATTCTATCACAACGTAGGCAGAGCTACGGGAGCAATTTGGGGTTAAGTGTCTTGCTCAAGGACACATCGACATGCAACTAGCGGAGCCGGGGATCGAACCGCCGATCCTCTGATTGAAGGACGGCCCTGCTCTCCACTTAGCCACAGTCGCCCGTCTATGGATATATGGAGCAGAGACTCCGGCTCTCTTAAACCTGCTGCTCAGGAGACCAAGCGTTACCTGCTCCGCCATGCTTCCAGTGAGGACGTTGTCCGCCCGACTCTCTTGGTTTGCAGCGATGAATTCTGGGATGTAGATGGACGGTCTGGGTTTCATGCGGCTCAACTGTGGCCGCAGCTGCTCTTGCAACGACCACTCGAGCACCTGAGCTCTCTCCATCGCTCTGCCAAGATCCATTGAAGAGATATCCCAGCCTAAAACACAAATATATATATAAATATATATATAAATCATTTTCCAGAAAAGGGCAGAGGCTGACCTATGTGGGTCAACACTTTCATCTTATAATAGACTACAGCAGCTCTATAAACAGCTTGCCTGTTAAAGCTCTTCCCTTATGAAATGTCAGACTAGACTGCATTAGAAGACACCATACTGGAGCACATCTCTGACCATCTTCACCTCATGGAGAGGCTCTCCTTGAAGCTGCCCTGGGGTCAGATTAACAGCTCACTTGCTCTATTATATTACACACACTTCTCCGTTTCTGTATCAGAAGTTAGGGTTCAAGCAAAGTATCTACAACTGTCCGTACCGTCAAAGACTATGTCATTGGGGTGCACCATGGGTAGGAGGTCACAGATGGGCACATTGACCTCGCCCTCGGGTCCTGAACCCAGACAAGCAGTAGACGCCTGCAGGAGGGAGCCAAAGTAGTTTGCTTTCTGCAGAATGTGGGAGAAAGAAAAGAAGAGAAAAACACAGATTTCATTCCCTCTACAGACGTCTTTTCTAGTGGGTTCAAGACTTATTATAACTGAATTAAATCCTTTGAACCAGAGAAAAATGTCAGAAATGGAAATCACGGGAAGCAGCTCATAGAGGTAACAATGTATGCCCATATAAGGGGATATCCCCGAGACCAGAGTTAGTTAAGCCCTTCTTAACACTCTACTGAACAGGTCAGCATAACCAGCTTATAATGAGTCTTACCACTGTATCGGGGAAATGTAGTAGGCTACATTTATAAAATAGGACAAGAAGGTTCTCTATTTGCTCCCTAGTGGCAGCCTAAGGCCATTATAGTCTGGTAGTAAAGAGATCATTCACCATCTAGAACCTTTTTTGAGAAAGAAGAATCATTGTAGTGTTTGCATGTTTTAGCCGTAAAACTACCAATGTATGCTTGACACAAGGGATGGCCATTTTCCAAGCAGGCGACAAAATCAACTTACAGAAGGTTGTTTGAGTCGGTTAGATTTGTTACCGTCAACGTGAAGTTATACAAGTTTTTAATGTAAAATACACTAAATTTCAAGTCCATCCCAGTTGTTTTTCTGCACTATACTGAAATTAATGTAAACTGTGAGAAATCTATGTTTAAAAGCACTCCTAGTGGTGGATATTATGTCACAATAAGTTTACTTGTAGAAGTTTTAAACCAAAAAGTATAGTCATTGAATGTATTAAGTGTCTGTGAGAGAAGAGTTTCCAGGTCACGACCACATAAGGTAATGAGTGCAGTCTGTGCCAAGAGCGGGGGATGGTGAACGCTAGCTGCAAAGAGGGGTGTCGTACCAGACCAAGGGGTCATAGGCCAGGAGGAGCTTATCGGGTTTCAGCTGATTGATGTGGTGAAGAATGTGAAACATGAGACTTTTCAGTGGCCCAATCCCAATGTCCCCCTCCTTACGGACTCACGGACTTTGAGGCGCGCTCCGCGAAGTCCGTGAGGGTTTAGGCATGTCCCACTGTCAAATCGTCAAGTGTTTGAGGGCTCTCTTGCAGACATTTTGAGCCCTTTATGAACCCTTTCCGTAAGTCAGCATGGTATGCCGACTTAGCCTAAGGGAATTACCCACAAATCATTGCAATGTGACGTTAAACACGGGGTAACCAGTGGACGCATGGAGACGTAAAAAAAAAAAAAGGTAAACAAAGAGGACGGAGCACGTGTGTTCAGCCCGTCTTATTATTCTGGATTCTGGACATAACAAAACCAGCGGCTGACTCACTGTCTGTATGTGTACAGGCGCGTTTGTGTCACTCACCTTCACTCCAGTCTTGGTTGTCCAGGTGAGATCCAGCTTGTTGGCCAGTACAGCTGCCGTCACTGTGGTCCCGTTGTTGCCTCCCCAGCCCACCAGCATCACACCCAGCTTGGGCACATTTCTCTCTGTGCGAAATGTCATCTCGGTGGTGCGGGGGGTCACCTGTTCCCCAATAAGGAGCAGAATTAGAGGGACACTGTACAAATGACACACCCAGATGCATATACTGTACACACAGAAATGTCAGAAAGGTCCACGTACTGTTATTTTGTTCCCATCTCTGTGAACTGATGTGGTCTCGTAGGGATACTGAGACACAATGTGTGTATCTGTGTACTTCACATTAGGGCTGTTGATTTGAACGTTGACAGACATGGCTGCAGTCTGCGAAGAGAGAAACAAAGAACACATTAAATGAAGGTAGGGAAACGGTCTTGAGCTATGTGGTATGACACATACTCCATACCAATGTCAACACTCACCCAATCACTGACTTTGAGGCACGTGATAAAAGTAAATGGTTTTAGTTTTATCAAGGTAACGTGATATGTTGCCGCAAAGTGCTGTCCCATATACAGTTACACAATTCCAAGCACTTCCTTGGATTGAGAGACGTCACAACTAACTACAACATACATCAGCTTCCGGCCATGTTAACAATAGCCCGCCCTGCTCTGCCTGTCACTGGCTCCCCGTGATACATGTCTAAACCTAACCAATTCAAGTAAAGAAGGTAACAAGCAATAGCCAATCAGAGACAGAGTAAGGCGGGTCACAGCATGTTTCCTGATTTAGCTATCCCGGCATGAACAAGTATGAGACAGCGAGTGCGACTATAGGCAGTGGCAAGCATGTGGCAAGCGTCAGTCAGGTGTCACAACAGTGGCAAGCGAGCGGCACTCATTCGGAGCCACATTACCTGAGAACACCCATTGTTGTTACGATTGGATTTTCTGCACACACAAAAATTACTTTGAACTTTATTGCATCAAAAAATCCACAGACTAATGGAAGAGTTGATTATTGCTGTGTACACGGATAAATATTAAATCGCATGTAGTCAACTATTGTTGCTAACATACTCCCATCGGCCCACGTTTATTTATTTATAAGAAGCTATGCAGAGCTTGCAGCAGAAGCAAAGCAGCACAGCTAGAACACAAAAACAAACTGTCCAGTGGAAGTGGAATGCAGAGGATTTGTGGCTTCTTCGAAAGAGCTGGGAAGTCACGGTCCGGCTCTGCGGCAGACCATCATGGCAATCTCAGAGGCAGCTGAAAGAAGCAGCCAGTGGATTTGGATCAAGCGGAATGACCCATGCTGGGCTCCAAATATGTCAGCATAACCCACTTGAGAATCCCCACCTGTTAACCAGTCTCAATGTTGTCAATTTCGAGGCAGTTGGGCACGGCACACAAGCAGAGGGCTGATCATCCCGCAGCTGGCCACCCTTGGTGAGGGTGTATAGTGTTGAAAGGCCGAAACACTCAATGACACAATTGAACATTACTGATGTGTTCTGGGCTCAACTGTCCCAAAATTCTACAACCTAAACCAAACCAAGATACACCCCACACAAGCCGAAAACCCACACTTGTCGATCGTCAACCACTCAAAACAAGGTTAATTTCCTGGAAGTGTCCACCACCTTGGCACAAAGGACAGACAAACATGTCCTGTGTTTCTTGATTCCATTTTTCCATGTTACCCTGGTATGTGCTTGCATCATAGACTAACAGTTTTCTTGCATACGGTCATTCTATTGCCTCGACTTTTATTTACTTCCGGACTACCTCCCTTGCTTTGTGTCGTTCTTCAAAAGGAAAAACAAATAAACCCTAAAACAGACTATCAAAACGTACACAGACCAGGGGGGCACTCCTCCTCTGACTACTATTGGCACTGGCAGCTTGTGTCACCTACACATAAGCAGAGGAAGAGTGAAGATATTTTCAGACATGTAATTTTGGATTGGACTTTTTAAAACGTGTGTGTGTGTGTGTGTGTGTGTGTGTGTGTGTGTGTATATATATATATATACACACATACATACATACATACACACACACACACACATACACATATATATATATATACATACACA